CACAAATGAGTATGTGTGGGAGCATCTGAACATAGAAATTCAATTGCAGATAGGTACTAATACAATGACATTCCTCTTCTCAGGCTTCCCTGAAGGAAGATTCCTTTACGAAGCTTAAATTGGCATGGGTACCTGCTGGCTTGTTCTTTCTTCCCCTCTCATTCTTTCAAGCTTCTACTCTTCTGCTGCACATAACCCATTTTTTTGCCTTCCTGCCAGTGTGCTGGACCCCATTTCTTCCCTTAATTTCCACCTGTGTTTCCTCATCTTCCTATTTGCTCATTCTGCACGTTCCTTCTAACATTACTGTGCCCTGATCATCTCCCTCTGTGTCCATATCCTCCAGCCTCTGCATATGCTCTCTCTCCAGTTGGCTGCTCCTGTTGAATGCCTTTTCCCTCTCGTCATCTGTTCTTTGCCCTTCTGTGGGTTCTTCTTTCTCCCTCATGCCAGAATTACTGAACATGACCCTGCTTTAAAATAATCAGAAATAATGGGACATGTTTGTTTAGGTTACCTCACTTCTCTCTGTATAGGGTTTAAAAAATAGTGGTGATTTTTAGCTCAAGACAGTCTGTTTTCACACAGTGACTGGCAAAACCTGAAAAATTACAGTCTCTTCTGGTTGTCTGGACACCATGGAAAAATATCCTTACAGAAGATCAGGAGACTCTCAATAATACTTTACTTGACCTGTTGACAGAAGCAGCACTTACTGTGGCATGGAGAACTGAGAACCTAGCTGAAATAAATCCTCTGATTTATACTTGTCAGCAAAGCTGTAGGGAGACATTTTGGAGCTCAGAGTGCCCTTGAATGCTTTGCTGCCATCATCTTCTACTCAACTTGGAGCAAACGGGTAGAGTATGCCACAGCTTGACTGCAAGGCTTGGACCTACCTTCCTTTCTTACCCCCTTTTAGAGCTCTTCTGCCCCAACGTTGCCATGACCATGACTGTGGCCAATTCTCAATTAGTTTGAGGCACAGAAAGTCAGAACTGGCTCTTGTATGAGGAGCACGTTTAATCTACAATATTTTATGAACCATTTGGGGTGGGCATAAATGTTCCATCTAATGGAAGTGCTGGGAATTCTCTTTTCAGTAAGATACACTACTTATTTCTAACTTTAGTAGAGATTGCAGTATAAGCTCATAACAATATAGAATGAAGACTTACAAAAATGTTTTTTCATTTAATTTATAGCATTTTCTAAAATGCCTTCTTGTTTTTTCCTCCCTTAGAGACGTGTAGAAACTGACTAATGATTCAGAGAGAGAGATGTGAAATATTGCATCAATAAGATTTTTTTTGGTGCCTTTTTTTCCTAAATCAAAAAGCATTTCTGACATATTACCTATAAAATATGAGGCAAAATTACCCAACCTAACACATTTGTTTGGGAGGTGCTGAGTAACTCACAGCACTGATAATAGTGATTAATGTGGTCTGCAAACTCCTGCTGACAAGATCTTGACACAGAACCACATAAACAAGGAATATGTTGGCCTTTCACTCAGCTGCCCTCCTCCGGATACTTCTAAATTCACATGCAAAAAGTGTAAATACTTGTGGCTGAAGTAGAGTAGCAACACTAATAATGTTTACATTTTGAGCTATTTTCTTAATGCTCCATTTAATCAAGTTAATTTTTTGTAAATTATTTTACAATTTTTGTATTTCTTTTCACTTTTGGTACTAAAAGACAAGAAGGGTACGTGTCCTAATGTAAGACTAATTTCATTCCTTGCCATTTTCTTTGGAATTTTTTATTTGTTCAAGTGTTACAACTTTCCCATTTTTCAGTTAGTGTCATTTTTTTTTTCACCTGTTTTGGCACATTTCGGACCTAAGTGTTTTTCTTCCTTCCCTGACTATTAATGGTACATGTGTTTTGGCCATTTGTCTTCCATACTCTCAGGTTTGTGCAGGGGTAAATAATTCATTTCCCTTTTGTTGTCAATTTTCTTATTTCCTTAAATAATTTTTTCTTTTCCTTTTCTAACAAAAAATCTTTTCTGCCATCCTTTCAGAAACCAGCTGACGATCTTTTGTGTTGTATGCATTTGCAATATGCTATTCTTTAACCACTTGTTTTCTTCAAAGACTATAGCTGTTCTGAAAATGGGATAATTTCGCATTTTGTCTGAAAACACTGTCCTTGAAGGTTTTTTTGTGACTTCTGTGGTTGCTTTTCTTTCCCATTGCAGCCTGCCATGTAGTTTTGGCATCTTCCACTCTGTGGAAGAGCAGGAACGCTATTTCACTTTAGAGTGCTTTCCATGCATGACAATGAACAGTGTTATCCTTGAGAGATGCTGGAAGGTTGTGCAGAACTCTTTTCAACTAATCTCTTTTCATTTCTGACCAGCTTTCTGAGCAAACATCTGTTAGAAAGTGATTGGAGGAAATCCCATGGGGATTTCAGGTTTTGCTTATTGAGATCCCCCTGTTACTAGCTTTTTGGGTACACTCTTTTGAATGGGAAAGTTGGTTGCATGACCCAGGTAGAAATTTATTGTCTTCTTCCCTCTCCCTCACTCCCTCCTGGTTTCATGATTAAGGGTTTTGAAAATACTGCATGTCTGTCTCCTTGTGTGGAGTTTAGTTGCTGGGTTATTCAGCATAGCCCTGAGGCTGATCTACTCTTCTAAGGAGAGGTGCTTTAAAATTGAGAATCCTCAACTCTTGAGATGAATTTTGTGGATTTGACCTCCAAGGCCAACACATGTTCATCTCCCTTGTACCTCCTCTTTTGCCCTGCCAGAGAAAAAGCTGATGAGAATTACCTCTGCACCAAAGTCCTTTTATCTCTAGAGGCCAGACAGTCCCCATTTTGGTTGAAAGACTTGGGGATCTTGAAGGCAAAGGTGTTATTATAGAGTCTAAATGCAATGGTGGTGATATTAAATGCAGTTCTCCCAGACACTGATTTGACTTTTTATAGTTCAGTGAGCCAAGGAATCTAGGACAAGGTTATTTTCTTAAGGTACTTAAGGGAAGGCCTTGAGTTATGAGAGTCATCATGGTGGCTTTCAAGGAACACATTACATTTACCTCTCAGAATATGGTGGTGATCTATATCTCAATTGAATGTCTATGATGAGAGGCAACAATAATATCAGGTAAGAGAAACAGAACCTTCTGTCCCTTAGAGAGCTCAGAAAAATGGGAAATGTGAAGTGCATTGATTATTTGAAAAAGTACATGCATTCAGATGCATTTTGTTGCTACTCTCAACCACTCCATGTTCTTACTGCTGAATTTGTCAAAAAAACCTGTCTCGGCAAAGGGGGTCTGTAATGAGATGTATATGTAGATTGTCTAAGATTTACCATACTGCCAGCAAATATTGGGTGTCCTTAGTTGGTTTCAATGGAACATACTACAACAGATGCATTATATTTAATAATCCACAAAAAAAAGGAAATTAAGATGATAAGAATCCAACCAATGATGCTGAGAACCCTCTGGTATTTCCAACACTGGTACTTTCAGAGGACAAGTAATATAGATCTTTTGGTGGGGTGGGGAGGTTCCAGCGGGACTGATGCTCAGGTGCACAAGCTGCTATGTCCATCAGAAAATCTCTCTCCTAAGATGCAGCCAGCAGCACCACTCTGGAATATCATAGACTTCCCCATTTCTGCCTCTTCATTTCAAACAGTGAGAACAGCTTTCATTTCTGGTGCTCTGGTCAGTGGCCTGTCAGTAGACATCTAAGGCCATCTGGATGAGCTGACACCTCCCCCCAGTTAGCCATTTGCAGTGGTATGGTATGGCTCAGAATTTTGTTCCCAGAGTAAACTCTTTCCTTGGCTCTCATAGTGATGAGAAACTAACTGGAAAACTAACTTCCAGAGTAGTCAATGCTGACTTTTTATGCAGGTGGACTCCAGAGTTCTCCAAGTCTTGTTTTTTCATCCATTCTTTTTCCTCCTTCTCAATGGTTCTATGAATGGTTCAGTGCTTCACTAGGGCTGTTTATTTAACAGTGTCCAGCAATGTAGATCAATTTGCGTGGTCAGTTGATATCAACTGACCTTTTATGAAGAATTAAGAGGCAATCCAAAACAGAACAAGTATTTTTTCCTCTTTCTTATTGTAGTTACTTATTATGTTGGATATGAACACGTCAACATAGGACCATCTGTCTTTCCTAGATAGATGGAGAGAGAGGGAGATGATTTGGAGTAACCTGTGCTTTTAATTTCTGGGCTGTTTTCAGTTTGGGGGGAAGGGAGAGAGGAATGTGTGTCACTTGGAAATTGTTTGTTTTCTGTATGTACCTGTCTTCACTTCCCTAGTTAGCTGATACTGAAAGACCCACATTAGAAACCTTGAAGACCCCTAGTTATTACTTACACTTGGGGGAAAAAAAAATTACTCAAACTAAATGGTGTAAAATCTTTGCAAAATTGAATATCATTGTAACCATTAACCTTGTTAGCTAGAAGTATGTGCTTTTTTAATATGGATGTGAAGTTTCAGATATAATTCTACTTGCACGTGCCCAAGGGTGGGGAGTAGCATTAATCCCACTGTTTCTGTTCATCTTTTACTCCTTTCCTGGTTCACCATGTTTGTTCTTGATTCAGAGTCTGAGATTTTTGCTAGTTGTGTTATAATGCTAATTACTAGAGGGTATTATCATTGACTGTAGAAATAGAAGTAATATGATGTTGTAATGTATTAAGTTCAGATTTACTCCTGACCTTTGCCAGAAGTGAAGGAACTTCAGATCCAGGGCTTTGTTCAGTCTCTGTTTCCTTTCCTTTCCCCAAATGGTGTGGCATGGAAGTATTTGTTATTAAAAAGGAAAGGAAGACAAATTGACAATAATGGAAGACTGAAAACTTCATTGAAAGAACTGTATAGGGAATGGTGGGTGAGCTCAGAAACGTGCTCTCAGAAACAAAATTGAATGCAGTTCAGTAGTTGTGCCACACAGTGTCACAATTGGACTTCACTTCCTTCCACTCCGTATCTTTCCCATTGTAGGTGAAGATGTTTACAAAGCCAGCGAAGAGTGGTCTGAAATGTGGGGGGCAGCTGAAGTGCAGGAAGATGAAGATACTCGTGTAGAAGTTCCACTGGACCAGGTATTGATTGAGCTTTAAATAAACGGCATATTTTTAGGATCACAGGTTATGTGTTATTTTTCTTTCCCCAGTTTCTTTCAAGTGTACAGCATAATTCTGTGGGGATGATTGTAACAGCTCAACGATAACGGCTTCTTTTATGGTAGCTTTAGCAAATCTTCCTTTCTCTGTTAATGTGTCAAATATCAGCTACCTTTTCCTCATACATCAGCTTGAGAACTGCTCTGAGAGCCCTTACAGGGCCTTAGAGAATCAGGACTCCCTACCTACCAAATAGATCCACCTGGATCACAGTCCCTTTATACTGGTGGAGCAGTGTAAAGGGATAAAGGGACTATGGCACAGAATAAAGGTTAGAATTCCTGCAGTCCTGAACCACAAACAGGTGTGGATTTATCTGATTTTTATTAAAGCTGCCAGCACTTTCTTCTGTTGGAACAACAGGGTACTTAGTTGGTCAACTTTTTCATCGTAAGACTTATATGCAATAAATAGATCTTGATAACTAAACATAAGATTATATCCTCTTTGTTTTACTTTGATTTGTTTTTAAAAGAAACTCCTGTGAACTGAAATAATACAGGAAATAGGTAAGTTGAAGTTTATTCCAATGAAGTGGAGAGTAGAACTGCTTAAATTATTTGCTGAAAACTTACTCTTTTTTTTTTTTTTTCTCTGCTAGTGAATTGCTCACAAGACAGTCCTCTTTTTCATCTTATGTGTTTGTAGGAATTTGCCAACTTGTTCAACTTTGTGTCCAGTCCACAAGATGTTGCATTTGCTTTTGGTGTCTGTTGATTATGGCTTGGGGCCAGCCACCTAGGCCACAAGATATTTCTGATCCATGCTGCAGTGTAAGGAATCACAGTTTACCCAATAGATTTCTCAGGCTAGAAGTCATCCCAACAACGTAAGGGATTCTTGAGCATTTTTCTGACTTCCTGGTGGTAGGCTCAGTGCTGAAGAATGATTGTTAATGTGAGATTGTAAACAAATGGGAGGGAGTTAAAAATAGTTGTTTGTAAATACACTTTAACTACCCAGGGCACAAACAATCTGGGAGATTTCTGGGGTGTGTTGGAGACAACTTTTTGGTATAGGTAGTGAGATACATTATTAGGAGAGGCATTCTGCTGGATTTGCTACTCATGAGTAAATAGAAACTGGTTGGGACTGTGATACTGAGTGGCAGCCTTAGTTGCAGTGGCCATGAGACAATAGGGTTTAGGACCCTGAAGGAAGTGGGGATGGCAAATAACAAAATAAAAATCCTGAAATTCAGGAGAGTGGACTTCGGCTTGTTTGGGAAACTGGAAGACAGGATCCTGTGCAAGGTTGCCCTGAAGTGCAGAGGAACACAGGAGATCTGGTTGACCTCCAAGGGCATCTTCCTCAAAGCACAAGAACTATCCCCATATGCAAGAAAACAAGCAGGCATAGCAGGAGGCCAGTTTGAACAGAGGACTCCTGACCTCGTACTAAAAGAGGTAGAGTGTGGTAGATAGAAGAGGGGATGGACTGCTAAGGAGCAGTATAGAGACATTGCCTGGGCATGCAGGGATGAAATTTGGAAAGCCAAAGCTTGTCGAGAAGTGGAAACTGATGCGTGTGATTGGGAATAGCCAACATGGATTTCCTATGGGCAAATCATACTTAAACAACCTCTTTGCCTCAGCGGTGAAATAACTGGCTCTGTGGATGAAGGGAGAGCAGTTATTGTAATTTATCTTGCTTTCAACGTAGACTTCCATATTTGTAGGAGAAATTGGAAGAAATGTGGTAGATATGGGGAGAAAGATATCCTTAAGGAAGGTAGGGACTGGATTTGTGGGCTAGAAGGTGGATGAAAAACTGGCTGGTTCGATGGGACTTAAAAGTTGGTTGAAATTTAACTGGCACCTGTTTATGGATGGTGGGTTTAATACTGGGTCTGATACTTTTTAACGTGTTCATCGGTAACATGGATGATGGCACAGGATGCAGCCTTATCCAGGCTCAGTAGTAAAGCCAAACTGTCAGTATCGGGTGATATGCAGGGCTGCCTTTCAGAGCGATCTCAACAGCTTGAAGGAATGAGCTGACTTGAGCCTCATGAAGTTCAACAAAGAGAAATATGAAGTGGGGTACCTGGGACAGGGTAACTATGCATTGGTACAGTCAGCATGGGTAGGCTAAGGAGCAACTCTGCAGGAGGGGCCATGCAGCTCTTGTGGCTAGCAAGTTGACGATGAATCAGCTGCGCTCCCTTTTGCTGATGAAGGTTGACTGTGCAGGCTGGGCTGCATTTGTAAGAGCACAGCCAGCACATCAAGGGGACGGATTATCTCCCTTGACTTGGCACCTCTGAGATTGCATCTAGAATATTTTGTCCAGTTTTGAGTCCTTCCCAGTACAAGAGAGGTATTTGCAAACAGGAGAGAAAAACACTAAAACGTTTAGGGGGCTAGAGCCTATGACACAAGAAGAGGCTTAGGGAACTGGGTTTGTTTCACTTTAAAGGCTAAGCAACAGAAGGCAGATTAAATTGCTCTCTTCAGCTTCAGATGGAGTTGCAGAGAAGACAGAGACAGCCTTTTCTCTGTGTTGCACAGCGAAAGGATGAGGCAACGGTCAGAATTTGTAGCAAGGAAAATACTAATTGGACATAAGAAAAATGCTTTCAACAGTGAGAACTGTAAGCACTTTCCTGTCCAGAGAGAGTGGGGAATCTTTGTTTTCAGTAATTTTTAAAACTAAACTGGACGGGGCCTTAAACAACCTATTTTTACTTTGAAGTTGGTCCAGCAGGGCACTGGCCTAGATGATCTCTAGAGCAGTTGTCTCCAAAGTGGAGTGTGCACAGCCCAGGGGGTATGAAAGACAATGCATTGGGGTGCAGGAAGAAAATGTTAGAACTTCAGTAGTACATGTATATAATTTATAAATAAGTAAATATACATACATTGGGAGTATGTGCTCAAAAATTTTTTACTGATAGGGGTGTGCAATCAAAACAGTTTGGAGACCACTGCTCTAGAGGTCTCTTCCAACCTAATTTTTCTGTGACTCTGTATTTGTTCATCTTTTGATTATTTCAGTCCTATAGTCAACTTTTTTTTTTTTTAGTAAGCTTTGGGTTTTTGTGCTTACTATTTAGCTGGCTGATTTTTTCAATTTATTTGAATTGGGTAAAATAATACTATAGATTTTTCTTGTCTTCTGCCTTTAAAAAATGCCTGAGGGGAAAATAGACAGAAGTTTTATGAGTTTATACTTCATTTTAATTTCTGCCTGCAATACCAGTCTGTACACTAACAAAAGCTACATATGAAGTTGCTGCTGTAGCCATTTTGAAGAAGGGCACCATACCCACCTGAAAAAAAAATCTGGATCTCTCCATTTTATTTTAGCCTGCTGTTTCTAAGAAGGATCATTCTCAGTGATTTATTCACTTTAATGGGAAGGAGTGTTGCTCAGCTATTCTATAGACATTGTTCTTGAAGCCGCATGAACCAGGTGATTGAAAGAGGCAAGAGCATGACTGTCCTGGTCCCTGATATATGGAATACTACAGCTGTGTCTTTTCACAGCAAATACCTGCCCCGGCCTCAGAGACTTATGTGCTAAACACCATTGGGCTCATCAGCCCTGTTAATTGCAGCTCTCCTTGTGAAGTGTTGTGATGATTAGGATGTGTTGAGTTGTACTGATAGTACTGACATTGGGGAAGAAAGTGCCGCCTGTTGTCTTAATCTTTGTTTCTCATGGCATCCTGAAGTATATCCTGCCCTGGTCTTGACAGCATAATAATCAAATTGAGAAATGATTAGCCTGTTTATTGGCCTCTGAAGGTGCATAAAGGATTCCTCTGGGTAGCATAAAGCATTTGACAGTGTAAATTGGGTTTTCAGGTCTTACTTTTTAGGTTGACTGCAATTCATATGAAATCCAAGAGCCCTGGAGATGGCAGCCTCACTTCTCCACGGAGATGCTTACAGGCAACAGCTCTGCCAGTGGATCTCACCAGTTTGCCTCAGCCATAAGATGGTGACTGTCACTAGGGAGGGGAGAATAGCTAACTCTCCACTGCCACTTCTGTGCTTGACAGTGGTAACTGTGGTTGTTGATACAGTTGCCAGTGAGCATCGGTTATGCTGGGAAGCTTGCAACTCTAGGAGCTTGCTTGATACCTCTAAGCTCATGTACAAAGGCTCGCGCATCATCCTCAGATGGAAATATTTTTCAGTTGCTACCAACTGATTTTGCTACCTGCACAAGGAACTGGCAGCAGGTGTGTTTGAGGAGGGGGGGAAATCAGTAATGCACACTATTAATGATCTGATTTTCATATTTTCAGAAAAGCCAAACGAAGCACCAGAATTTATTGCAACTCAAGCCATGGTTTATTTCTCATTTTAAAACTTCATATATAGTTTCCTAGGTAATCTGGCAAGAAGCCAGGTCCCTCTGAGTAGCACTGAGTACTTTTTATTCCCAGATAACAGGTTACTCAGACCTTGGAAGCATTTAGCATTTTACATGTTCAGGTTCTTATTAATGACCATTTTAAATTGTTTTAAATTCTGTGATGTACAACTTTATAGCTTTTTCTTATCTGAACTGCAGTTTCTGTTATTGCTAGAAATATGGAAGAGGACAGCCAGCCAGGGCTTGACTATCTTGCACAATGCATAAATATTTACATGCCAGCTTTCACTAGAATGCTGACACTTCTGATATGCTATCACTTCCATCAGCCACATAAATGAGGTGGTGAAGATGGAGCTTAGTCTTTTTTCCTTTTGTGCACCTTCTCTGTCTTGCCATTTGAAGTACACAGTTGAACAAATGCCAGATTAGCCATTAACTAAACTTAGTGTAATACTGGCTAGACACCCACTTATGTCCTATTCTGTAAAATGCTGTCTGCCAGCTGAGAACATATTAAAAGAATAGGATTTGCTTTACTCCAGACTAGCTGACAGTTGTAATTGAACATCAATGAGGAAAAATCAGTGTTT